AAAAAAAAAAAAAAATAAACGTTGAAAAAAAAAGAAAAACAAATGAATAAGCATATAAATTGCAAAGGAAGAAATAAAACTATCCCTACCACATGATTTTGTATATAGAAAAATTTTAAGAAACCCCAAAAAACACAAACTTAGAACTAATGAATTACTTTAGCAAGGATATAGAATAAAAGGTTAATTTAAAAAGAAATCAATTTTTAATATAATGCAGCAGATAATTTGAAAATAATATTAAAATTTTATTTTATAATACCATCAAAATATAAAAATACTTAGGAATAAAATTAACAAAAGAAATATAAGATCTGTATATTCAATACTACACAACACTGCTAAGAGAAATTAAAGAGACCTAAATAAATAGAAAGATAAATCAGATTCATGGATTGGGAGACTCAAAACTGTTAGTTTGTTAGTTATCACCAAAATGATCTATAGATTCAAAGCAATCCCAATCATAACCCTAACAGGCTTTTTCCTAGAAATTGACAGGCTGATTTAAAAATCTGTATGGCTGGGGCGCCTGGGTGGCGCAGTCGGTTAAGTGTCCGACTTCAGCCAGGTCACGATCTCGCAGTCCGGGAGTTCGAGCCCCGCGTCAGGCTCTTGGCTGATGGCTCAGAGCCTGGAGCCTGTTTCCGATTCTGTGTCTCCCTCTCTCTCTGCCCCTCCCCCGTTCATGCTCTGTCTCTCTCTGTCCCCAAAAAATAAATAAATGTTGAAAAAAAAATCTGTATGGAAATATAAAGAATCTAGAACGAGGGTTGGCAAACTATGGTCTGTGGGCCAAATCCAGACCACTGACCACTTTTGTAAATAATATTTATTAGAACAGTCACATTCATTCATTTATATGTTGTTTATGGCTGCTGTTGTACATCCACAACAGTATTGAGTAGTTGCAATAAAGACCATATATGTCACAAGCCTAAAATATTTACTATCTAGTCCTTTACAAAAAAAATCTGTAGACCCCCGATCTAAAATATCCACAATAATGTTAAAAAAGAACAAAGTTAACAAACATATTATCTGACTTCAAGAATTACTGTAAATTTAAAATGAAGTACTGGGACCTCATCAAAATAAAAAGCTTCTGCAC